CAGCTGTGATCAGTGTTGCTGATGAAAAAATCCGTCAAAGTAGAAGAGTGATAATTGTTTTAGTACCAGAACCCTCCTGTTACAGTATTCTAGAAGATGTGTCTGAAAAGCAGATAGCCATGTATAATGCTCTTATCCAAGATGGCATTAAAGTAATTCTCATTGAACTTCAAAAAATACAAGATTATGCAACCATGCCAGAATCCATCAAATATATTAAGCAAAAGCATGGGACTATCCGATGGAAAGGGGACTTCTCAGAAAGGTCTCACTCAGCCAGTACCAGATTCTGGAAGAAAGTGCGCTACCACATGCCATCCAGAAAAAATGGATCTTCATCAGGATTGCATTTGTTACCAAAAGACTTTAATTCTCCCTAAATAACAAAAGAAAAATGACACTTAATGACTAATGCAGTTCACATAGTTGGTGATGGATTGATTGAAGGTCACATGCATCTGTTTTGCGCAGACAATCTTATCCAAATTTTCTGGATTGAAGGTACTACAACTTCATCTACAGATGTGAATCATTTTTATTTCTGGCCAGATCAACAGGATGCCTTGAAATGTCGTCAGTAGCACAGTGATGACATGGAAACCATGTAGGAAGTATATCAGGCCTTTTCCAAGCCTTGCACTGTGATTTGGTGGAATTCTTTTGGTGTTAAAAATGGAAGAGGAAAAAAGCTATCAAAAACCCAGAAAACTTGCATTTTGCAATTAAAGGTTGAATATGAAGGGAACTATATTAATTATAATTGTGATATTATGTAATGGGCATGGTTGATGCCAGTAAATGTTTTTGTTTCAATTTTTTTAATGAAATGACACAAAACTTTTTTGTCACAAGTTCATTATTTGCCTTGCTCAGTTTGCTGAAAGATAAATCCTTCTGTGTTACTGCATCAGTGTGTTATCATCCAAGAGAAAAGATAAGAGACAATCCCAGTCCCCCAAAAGTGCTATTGAGCCTGACAAAGCATAAATTCACTTCCCTGATCTTTTTTACATTTTAAAGAACTGTACCATTTTTAGTCACTTTTCATAGAATCATAAAATGCTTTGGTATGGAAGGGACCTTTAAAGGTCATCTAGTGCAACCCCCCTGCAATGGGCAGGGACATCTTCAACTAGATCAGGTTGCTCAGAGCCCCATCCAGCCTGGCCTTGAATATTTCCAAGGATGGGGCACCTACCACTTTCCATTTTCCCATGTAGACACTGTAAAAATACCATTGTAATGCTGTACTGAGTCAAAAAAATTAATCTTAAAAAGATTTTTTTTTTTTCCCCAGTTAGGTGGCTTAATATATTTGTTCTTATTTTACCCCAAGTGGAACAATTAGCTAATGACAGAGACTCTCTCATGGGGAGTACAGGATGGCTGGCTTCATCTGACTTAGGGACCAGATCAAGGGACTTCAGGGCACCCACTTCTCGTGGGTTGCTGTCGCTGAAGGAAAGCAGGTCTTCCCTCCTGTTCCCAGCCAGGGTGCTGGCTCTAGCATTTGTCAGCTCTGAAAGCTGAAGCTGGCTGAACAGATTGATGTGGCAGAAATCGTTCTTTTCCTTGGGATAGTTTTCTCCCAGATTAGCGAGTTTATCTGGTTCCTGGAGGGTTCAGAGTGCAATGGGAGAAGAAAAGGGGTGGTGGAACCATTCTTTTTGGCTCCAGATGTGTTTAGAAAATAGAGCTAAAATAGCATTGTTGCCCAGTGCTCCTTAAAGTGAGGGGGAGAGAGAGATGTCCTGTGTTACCCCCTGCAGCTGCTTGCTGTTCTCCTTTCCCTCTGCCCTGATGATGTAAGGAATCTGAGCTGACTCTGTACTGAATTTGGCTGGGGCTGGATGAATTGAGGCTGGAGTCGCAGCTACCAAACAGCTGCTCAGGAAAGGAAGTTGTTATAACTTACTGTGCATGTTGAATCCTTTCTCTTTCCTTTTTTTTTTTTTTTTTAAAAAAAAAACAACAAAACAAAACAATATTATGTATGTCACAATTGTTAACTCTGAAGTTGTGTTTGACTTGTGTGTAGGCAGTGATGTAGTTTGTAATGATCTATTCTTTTTTCAGGGGAGGGAATTTATTTGATTGATTTTACAAAATTATTAAATCTGTTTAATGCCATGTTTATAGCTATGAATTTTATAGGAGCAGGAGATGTGAGAGCCAAACTGCCTGTACTTTTCAGTCTGTCCTTGAAAGCTACATTTTTAAGTTATGAGATCTAGTGGTATATGGAAGCTTCAGGATTTGACTGTTACTGCCTCTAACTGCTGCGTGCAACTCTGAATTCCTTTGTGTGCCCTATCAGCTTCTCTCGTGCAGCACCTTTTGCTCTCCTCCTATTCAGACTCCAGCCTATCTTTTTCCATGCAGCTCCCTTATCTTGGAACAAGCAACTGACTATTGTGTCAGACTCCCATCACTTTCTAAGCTGTCCTTGAAGGCTGTTGCTAATGCAATATTAGGCAGAAATTTTCCCTTTGAGTGGGTCCTTTGATATCTCTGCTTTTTCATCTGAAAAAACTCATGTTCTGCATCCTTCAGAATTTGTCTACTCATTTTGACACTGCAGCGTTGGCTTTTTCTTCTTTCATGGCTCAAGCATTTATCTTCTTATGCCTCCATCCTCAACCAAACAAAACCGATAGTCTGAGGTGCCATCCCACGGAAGAACTGCCTAGTGAACGTGCGATGGTGTGACCCTCGTGTTCTGCCTGATAAGTGACAAAACCAGTGGAAATAGGTTCCTCTCCCACCTAAAGTGCTTTGGTTACCTCGGTGTATGCTGGAAACTTGAAATTGTACTTCTGAGAGACGGGGCCTTCTGAACTTTGTGAGTTGAGTATGTGTTTGGCCAGAATGGAATAAGACTCTCTTCATTTCAGGATAGGAGGGAAAAAAGCGCATTTCCAACATCAGATTGTTTCAAACTGTTATGGTACTGGAGTGTTGTATTGATGAATGTTATGTATGTATAGACCAATGCACATGCTTATATTCTGTTCTCATTCTGTGTTTTAGTCAAGACACAAGTGTCAAGGGAGGATCAGTTCTGGTCATGAAGACCCACATTCACTTAGCTGTTGCACGCAGTCTGCTTTTAAATATGGTGTGTGTTCAGTGACAGCCTGTTGTAGGGTAAGAGAGCCTTGAGATCCATCTAAAGTTGCTGAGGTCCATCTGAGCAAGGCTAATTGTTACGGTTCACATCGATAGAAGAATTTAGTAGTACAGAAGCTGTACGGTTTGCTCACAGAACTCTTCTGTAAGAAGATCCCTATGTCAAATGTGAAGACTAGACGCTGGAAATATGGTATTTGTACTCTGAGGGTATAATACTGGCTTGGCACTTCCACCATGACAGCTCGCAGTATGCAGGCCAGCCAACAGACTTCCAGCAACCTCAGGCCTCCTGAATTATTTTTGCTGACTGGAATAGATTGAGTGAAAAACTGCTACTTGTTATCCCTACCTTGAGGGATAGGAAGGTTATTTTACTGAGCCAAAATACTGTTTTTTAAAAAATACTTGTTCCTTTTGATATATTTATACAAATGATGCTGAAGTTTTCATGTGTGTTATGTAAAGGCACTTTGAAGAAGGGTCCATTTCTTAATTCAATAAAGGCACTACATATTTTTTTCTTACAGCAGTGCTGGGTTTTTTTTCTTCATTCCTCCACTAAAGCATGCTGAGAATGAACAATGGCAAACAGTCTTGACTTGAAGTGTCTTGAACAAGGGTGCTATATTAGATCTTCATTCAGGCTGCTGAATGTGTGGGGGGGAAAGGGTCTCATTAACCATTGTGTCAGTCTGGTCTTGGCACAACATTAGCACTAACCACCTTGCCCTCCCTGGGCAAATGCGAGCCATGAGCTTGGCTCTGCTCTGTCCTGTACTCTCCTTGCAGTGAGGTGAAGCTAGAGCAGCCCCAAGGCTGCTGCCTCACTCTCTGGGACCAGCACAGTCCCCAGCAGTGCCCCACTGGGCAGCTTTCTGCTGCAGCTCTGCAAGAGCTGGGAGAAATGCAGGAGACCTTAAATGGAGGAAATGTGAAGGGCTTCTCAGCAGCAGTGGAGAGGCAGCCTTCTCTGCTTGTCTCCCTGGGCAAGCCCTGATGCTCTGATCTGCTCCAGAAAAGCCAGAGCCTTGGCAGTGGGGCGGTAGGGGCTGGTCTCGCATGAGACCTCATGTTGATTTCAGAGGGGCTAATGTGCTTAGCATAGGGTTTACAGAATAATTTTCAATCTGAATAGATAAAAGGAGCTTATAAAAGTAGGAGTCTTAAATTTGGTCTGTACTTTTTGCATTCTGATTGTTTTGAACTTCTTGAAAGCTGTTACTGAATACCATTTCTGACCCTTTTTCTAGTACAAGTAATGCCAGCTCTGTTTACTTGCTAGTTTAATCCTGGGTTTGTTTTTTCATGCAAGATAGATAAGCAGATAAAAAAGCCATTAGAGGAGTTCCTCTAAAATGAGTTTATATATACCTGTGTAACTCTCACAGTAGTTGTTTTTCAGAATCCAAGAATTTAATGTATTGGGTTTGCATGGCAAGGTTTTGGTAGTGGGGGGCTACAGGGGTGGCTT